ACTGGCCGCGCCGTCGCCGTTGTCACCACTGCCACCAGCATCGTGTTTACCATCATCGTGTCTACCGTTGTCAACGTTTCCATGATACCGCACACGCCCAACTCGCCGACTCGCACTGAAGTGCCCGCTGGAACGCGCCCAACAGTCAGCGCCACCGCGGCCGCGTCGGTCGCGCCAAGCTAGCTGGCCGCTGCGCGCGCGTGCTTGGGTTGGTGCGGCCGCAGAGATGGACCAGCCAACCGCAAGCACTCATCGCAATCGCCACCGCATGGGTTTCGCAAACTGCATTGCGGGCGGGTGGGTGGGATGTCTGCAAGAGCGTGGGATGTGTCAACTCGTCTGTTAAAAACAATTACACCACACAGACTGCACAACATACTTGCTACAAACACATTTCTTAGGGTCCACGCTGGCTAACACTGGTCTGAAGACCCAACGAAAACTCCACCCAAACCGCACGAAGAGCCTCAAAAACAGAGAACGGGGGATTGTGGAGTCGCAGGGGTTCCACAGCGCGCGCGCGAGGGTTTCGCGCTGAGTTCGCGACTGTTTCTCTGCAAACTCTGCTTTGTGTCGTCCTCCTCCTCCTCCTCCTACTCCGCCTCCTCTTCTTCCTCCTTCTCCAGGAGTTGTTTGTTGTTCTTGGCGCCCCCCCCCCTAAAAAAAATATAAAAATATAAAAAAATGTTGTTTGTTATTTTATTTATTTATTTTATTTTTGTTTGAGGGGGGGGGGGGGGGGGGGGGGGGGGGGGGGGGGGGGCGAAATACAAAGGAAACGCCTTCTCCTCCTCCTTCTCTGTCTGGACGTCGATGGAGGCGCGAGAACGAAAGAGAGAGAGAGAGAGGGAGATAGGTAGAGAGAGAAAGAGAGGCAATGGCAGTGGTAATGGTAATGGTAATGGCAATGGGAATGGGAGTGGGAATGGGAACGGAAACGGGAATGAAAATGGTAGTGGTAGTGGTAGTGGTAATGGTAATGGTAATGGTAATGGTAATGGTAATGGTAATGGTAATGGGAATGGAAATGGTAATGGCATTGGGAATGGGAATGGGAATGAGAATGGGCATTCTAATGGTAATGGCAGCGGTAATGGTAATGGGAATGCCCCCCCCCCCTCCAAAAAAAATGTTGTTTTTGTTTTTGGGTTTTTTTTGGGGGGGGGAATACAAAGGAAACGCCTTCTCCTCCTCCTTCTCTGCCTGGACGTCGATGGAGGCGCGAGAACGAAAGAGAGAGAGAGAGGGAGAGAGGTAGAGAGAGAAAGAGAGGCAATGGCAGTGGGAATGGTAATGGTAATGGCAATGGGAATGGGAGTGGGAATGGGAAAGGAAACGGGAATGGAAATGGTAGTGGTAGTGGTAGTGGTAGTGGTAATGGTAATGGTAATGGTAATGGTAATGGTAATGGTAATGGTAATGGTAATGGTAATGGTAATGGTAATGGTAATGGTAATGGTAATGGTAATGGTAATGGTAATGGTAATGGTAATGGTAATGGTAATGGTAATGGTAATGGTAATGGTAATGGTAATGGTAATGGTAATGGTAATGGTAATGGTAATGGTAATGGTAATGGTAATGGTAATGGTAATGGTAATGGTAATGGTAATGGTAATGGTAATGGTAATGGTAATGGTAATGGTAATGGTAATGGTAATGGTAAGGGTAATGACAATGGTAATGGGAATGGGAATGGAAATGCTAATGGTATTGGGAATGGGAATGGGAATGAGAATGGGCATTCTAATGGTAATGACAGCGGTAATGGTAATGGGAATGGGAATGGGGATGGGAATGGGAATGGGAATGGAAATGGTATTGGCAATGGTAATGGTAGTGGCGAATGGCAATGGTAATGGCAATGGCAATGGCAATGGTAAGATTAATGGTAATGGTAATGACAGAGGTAATAGTAATGGTACTGGTAATGGTAGTGGTAACGGTAATGGTAATGGTAACGGGGTAGCGATTGGCAATGGCAATGACAATGACAATGGCAACAGTAATGGTAATGACAATGACAATGGGATTGGCAATGGCAATGGCAATAACAATGATAATGGCCCTGACAATGGCAACGGCAATGGTAAGTGTAGTGGTAATGGCAATGGTAGTGGGAATGGGAACGGGAATGGGAATAGGAATGGGAATGGGAATGGGAACGGGAACGGGAATGGAAATGGTAGTGGTAGTGGTAACGGAAATGGGAATGATAAGGGTAAAGGTAAAGGTAAAGGTAATGGTAATGGTAATGGAAATGATAATGGTAATGGTAATGGTCATGGGAATAGCAATGGCAATGGAAATGGTACTGACAATGGTAATGGTAGTGGCTAATGGCAATGGCAATGGCAATGCGAATGGTAATGGTAATGACAGAGGTAATGGTAATGGTACTGGTAATGGTAACGGTAATGATAGTGGTAACGGGGTAGCGATTGACAATGGCAATGGCAATGACAATGGCAACGTTAATGGTAATGGCAATGGCAGTGGCAATGGCAATGGCAATGGCAATGGCAATGGCCATGGCAATGGCAATGGCAATGGCAATGGGAATGGTAATGGTAATGTGAATGGGCATGGGAACGGGAATGGGAATGTGAATGGGAATGGGAATGTGAATGGGAACAGGAATGGGAATGGCAGTGGTAGTGGTAACGGAAATGGGAATGGTAAGGGTAAGGGTACAGGTAAAGGTAGAGGTAATGGTAATGGTAATGGTAATGGTAATGGTAATGGTAATGGTAATGGTAATGGTAATGGTAATGGTAATGGTAATGGTAATGGTAATGGTAATGGCAATGGCAGTTTTAATGGTAATGGTAATGGTAATGGTAATGGTAATGGTAATGGTAATGGTAATGGTATTGGGAATGGGAATGTGAATCGGAATGGTAATGGTACTGGCAATGGTAATGGTAGTGGCGAATGGCAATGGCAATGGTAATGGTAATGGTAGTGGCGAATGGCAATGGTAATGGTAGTGGCGAATGGCAATGGCAATGTCAACGGTAATGGTAATGGCAATGACAGAGGTAATGGTAATGGTACTGGGAATGGTAATGGTGACAGTAACGGTAATGATAATGGTTATGGCAATAGTAACGGGGTAGCGACTGGCAATGGCAATGGCAACGGCGATGGCAATGGTAATGGTAATGGTAATGGCAATGGGAATGGGAATGGGAACGGGAACGGCAATGGCAATGGCAATAGCAATGGCCATGGCAATGGTAATGGTAATGGTCATGGTCATGGTAATGGTAATGGTCATGGTCATGGTAATGGTAACGGTAATGGGGATGGGAATGGGAATGGGAATCGTAGTGGTAATTGGAACGGGAACGGGAATGGAAATGGTAGTGGTAGTGGTAATGATAATGGCAATGGTAATGGTAATGGTAATGGTAATGGTAATGGAAATGGTACTGGTAACGGTAACGGTAATGGCAATGGTGATGGGGAATGGGGATTGTAATGGTGATGGCAGCGGTAATGGTAATGGTAATGGTAATGGTAATGGTAATGGTAATGGTAATGGTAATGGTAATGGTAATGGTAATGGTAATGGTAATGGTAATGGTAATGGTAATGGTAATGGCAATGGTGTTGGTAATGCTAATGGTAATGGCAATGGTACTGGTAGTGTCTAATGGTAATGGGAATGGTAATGGTAATGGTAACGGTAATGGTAACGGGGTGGCGACTGGCAATGGCAATACAATGGCAATGGCAATGGCAACGGCACTGGTAATGGCAATGGCAATGGGAATGGCAATGGCAATGACAATGGCAATTGTAATGGCCATGGTAATGGTAATGGTAAAGGTAAAGGTAAAGATAAAGGTAGAGGTAATGGTAATGGTAATGTGATTGGGAATGGGCATGGGGATGGGAATGGTAATGGTAATGGCATTGGGAATGGGAATGGGAATGGGAATGGGAGTGGGAGAGATTGAGAGAGAGAGAGAGAAAGCGAGAGAGGAAACATCAGCAGAATGATGAGGAATAACGTGAAATATCTTAAATTTTCGTCTAAAACCCACAGCGGCTCCACAATCCCCCGGCCTCGAGAACCAGCCTCCTCCTACACCCGAACGACCCTGCGGATTCCCCGGACACCCTCAAATGAAACCTGTAAAGGACCGGGGGCCCGAAACCGAGCGGAAACGCGCGGAGAAAAGAAAGGGCGACGCCAAGATCTCACAGAAATCCACGACGGGGCCAACGAACCACTAGCGCCACCCGGGGCTTCCGACAACGTTCACACCCCAGGCTGGCTGGGGAGCCGCGCCTCTCGCCGCCGCCACGGCCGCCGCCGCCGCCGCCGCCGCCGCCGCCAGGGGGACCGCCGCCGTCGGTTTCGTCGCCGCCGCCGCCGTCCCCAAATCTCCGACGTCGTGATTGTTGTCCACGACGTTGGGCGATGATGATGTCATGATAAGAGTGGCTCAGGATACGCTCCAGCGTCTAGCGGCCTTGGTCTGGGGAATCCGCACAGGAGAACACGAAAACATGGAAATCTCGGAGCGCATCCTTATCATGGCTTCCACCAGGAAAATGTGTTAGATCTTGGAATGCACCACTATCATGACATTTTGCTCGTCTGCGACGTGGCTTCCCCAGAGGGTTCTGGCCCCACGTTGCTTTAACGGCCCCGGCGGGCCGGTAGACAGCCCCCCCAGAGGCCGAAGAAAACGCTTCAAAACTGGCCGTGCCAGCGACTGTGGCAACGCCCGGATCTGAGGGATCATCGTCGTCGCCGCCAGTCGCCGCCGCCACCACCGAGGCCGCCGTCGCCGTCGCCGTCGCCCAGTCGTAGTCGTCGTCGTCGTCGTCGCCGTCGCCGTCGCCGTCGCCGTGGTGGTAGTCGTCGCCGCCGTCGCCACAGCCGAGGCCGTCGTCGCCGTCGCCGCCGCCGTCGCCGCCGACGGGGAGCCGCTTTCGGGAGAAGGCGGGGGGGGGGGCGCGGCGGCCGGCCGGCGAAGGCACGCCTCCCAGGGCTCGACCCGGTCCGGGGAGCTAACCTCCCGCGCGGGGGGGGGGTCCCTCCTCGGTCCTCCGCGATCACCCCTCGTGCTTCCTCGTCATCCATCATCATCATCCTCCTCCTCCTCCTCCTCCTCGTCATCGTCGGCGTCGTATTCTTCGTCCTTTCCTCCTCCCCTTCCTCCCCCTCCTCCTCCTCCTCCTCCTCCTCCTCCTCCTCCTCCTCCCCCTCCTCATCCTCTTAGTCCTCCGCATCCCTTGGTAGGCAAAACCGAGGCGAACGAAAGGGCGGAAGCGATCAGCACCGAGTCGATGAGTCGGGCCGGGTCGGAGCAGGCGCCGGGTCGGGCCGCATCGGCACGGAGCTGGAATCGAATCGGATCGGCTGCGCCAGGATGCGTAGCAGCCCCATCGGATCGTAGGGAGATCGGGATCGATCCCCCACAATCCTCCGACCCGGAGGAAAGCAGGCAGAGGGGAGAGGCGGAGGAGGAGCGCAGACAATGATGTGATGACGACGGCGACCGCTGCTCACGCAGGAGTCATGGAACATGAATTCCGAATATAAGCATGTGTTTACAAGGCTCGGAACCGTCGGGGAGCCAGACATGAAGTAGGGAGACAGAAAAAGATATATCGATAGAGAGAGTGAGAAACACAGATTCAGAACAAACCACGAAAACGAATAACAGTCCATGAGAAAAACAACCACCAAGAAAACACACTTATACACACACGCACCACACACACACGACAAAAACGGCACACCTGAAACATGACAACGAAACAAACAGAGAAAGGGAGACACAGAAAGAGACAAAGACAGCGAGAAAGAGCGAGAGAGAGACACAAACATATGTACATACATGTATATAGACATGCATACAGATACACACATACATACATACATACATACATACATACATACATACATACATATATACATACATACATACATACATACATACATGCATGCATGCATGCATGCATGCATGCATGCATACCTACATACATACATACAAACATACATGCATGCATGCATACATACATGCATACATTCATGCATGCATGCATGCATGCATGCATGCATACATACATACATGCATACATGCATACAGCACATGCAACACATACATATATACATACGTACATACATACAGACAGGCAGGCAGACAGACAGGCATACAGACAAACATACATACAGACAGGCAGACAGACATACATACCAGCATACATACATGACTACGTACACACTTACAGGCATGCATGCATACATACATACATACCAACAAGCATATGCTTGTATGTACCTATCATCGCCAATTGCCGCTGGCAACTGCCAGGTTGACTCGGGAGTTCCCTTAAGGTTGGTCGTGGCACCTGCCGCTATTTGATATGGTGACCCTAAAGTCGTGTAAGGGGGTCTGGGGGGCTTCTGCGCCGCGTCGTCTGTGGCTGACAGAGATCAGAAGAAAACTGGGGGCCCAAATCTGGCTCCGCATTGCCCAGTGCCCAGAGGCCGGGGCCTTCCGTGTATGTGTACATGTACATTTGTGTACACATACATACTATGTACGTATTTGTGGTTATCTACAAATGTATGTTTGTATGGGTAGATGTGCGTATGTATATATATATATATATATATATGTATACACACTAGAACCATCGCCCGCGCCTTCGCGCGCACTCAAGTTCTAGCTAGGCTTGACAGGCTATCGCATGGGATCTCAATTATTGAAGTGCCAAGTGCATCTAACGACCTTCTCCAAGTCCTTGCGCAAGCCTCAGAAGCGTATAGAAGGGGGAATGCGGATATCACAAAATCATAAATTTCCTTGAGGTGTTCGATGATTTGGGGCCCTCGAAGGCTTCCAGGATCTTTCTTCGGTGGTGACGAGGCATTGATTATGGTCTGTTGTGCAAAAATTGGCAGGGGGTAATTTTGAAAAAAAAGGAGTTCCAAGGATTCCTTTTTTCAAACTTACCCCCTGGGCGTCATTGCCCCTTTCGACCGCCATACACAGTGGATCATCCTTCCTAAGTTTTCGGTCGTCATTGCATCTGCACGCCTGGGCCTTGGCAAAACAATGCCTGAGCCATCGCATCGGAGGGGTGCTGAGTCTTGGTTCTGCTTCCCCCCACGCCCGGTGACCATTTCTTTCGATCGCCCCCCGATCAGACTTTCAAAAGATCCCTTGCCGCTTACCGGGGCCCCCATTTCGGCACACCTCTCACACGGTTCATGGCCCCACTCCCAGTGCTACCGTTCGCATGTGTCCCTCCCACCCATCCCCTAACATGTTTCCCACGTTTCGTAGCCCCACAGGCAGCTCTACCCAAGGCACCATGAGGAGAACCACTGAAGGCGATGCTCACAGCGGCTGTACTCACAAATGCATATGGTTGGGTCCTTCGCCAGAGTAAGTTCTGCTCCCTCGCAAAACATATCTGGTGACCTTACCACATCGCGATTCCAACGTCGCCAGTCAAACCGGGAACACCGCACAAGCTGACCTGCAATAAACAAACTCAAACCATAAACCGTGGCCTGGGCGACAAATCGGCAATGCAGTTGCTGTGCGTGCATATGGATATCCCCCACGGCCAGAACGGCCAACAAGATCCCCAACACGCAGCGCCGCGAGGGGACAAGAAGAAGGAGGAAAAGCAGGAGAGAACGAGGATGGGACGATACCCAACAAAATTCGCGCGTGCATAGTTAAGCCGACCTGTGTAGTCGGCGCCCGCACAGAAGCCCTCGCGAGTACAAGCGAACGAGAGCGGGAGGAGGAGGAGGAGGAGCAGGAGAGGAGGAAGGTGAACAAAACAGAGAGCCGTGAAATGCTACCATCCTCGGCAGGTCAGGCCCCATGGATGACCACACCAGCGCTGAACGAGCAGGCATGGCAATCGGTATGGAGCTAAAGGCAAACACGCACAGGAGAGAAGAGGAGGGAGAAGAGGGAGCAGACCAATGTATGACCAGAAACATAACAGCACAAGCCTGCGAGCTAAACTGGGCGTGCGCCGGGCGGTCACCCGTAGCACCTGCTACGCGGATGCACTCCGCCAGGCCCGGGGTGGATGCTGTCCTGCCCGCCCTGGCGCCCGAACGCGCACCGTCCCGCCTGGCCCCGACTTGACGCATGCCCGACTCGTTTGGGCCCATTGCCTTTGAGAAGGGAGGGGGGCACTGTTCAGAGATTGCCAGAGGTGATCTTGGCCCAGGGTGCCCGCCAGATTGATTCTCGCGCCTCTCTGGAGCCCCTGGGTCCCTCAGGGTCCTCGAGAGGAGCGCTCTGGAGGCCATCTGGGCCCCCTGGAAAGCCTGGAGCCACCCTGGGCCAGGGCCACCTCTGGCACTGCCCGAGCTCGTGGCGTGGCCGAACGGGGGGGTCCTGCACGATGAACACCAGCCAGACGTAGGCTAAGAGGGAGGAGACGGCCGTGATCCAGAACACGCCCAGCTCCTTCGGCGCCGCACGCGGAAAATGCCCCTCACTGTCTCCGCGGCTTCTCCTGCCCCGACCTGGCCACCATGCCATCCCCCTGCTCCCCCTGAGATCCGACGACGGGGGAGAAACCGCTACGCCGTGAAAGAGCATGAAAGGAGCGCTAGACCGCACAGTTTTGCCGTGCTTCTCGCACCTGGATCGATGCGTGAAGGTCCCAGGGCCCGAAACTGGGCGACAACGCCCCGTGTGAAAAAATGCAACGCCCAAATCCCTGGGTCATCCTCAAACTCCACCTGCTCCCTCCGTCTCTCTCTCTCTCTCTCTCTCTCTCTCCCCTCTCCAGTTTTCAAGCAGACGGTGGCGAGAACCGCACAAACAAATAAAAACTTGGAGCAACATCAGCGGCACTGCAGCGGCGGCAACAGCCGGTCAAAGCGCCACGATCCCCGCAAGACGAGGGCAGGCCGAGGACACATTCGGATAGAAAGTATGTCAGGAACCTCTGAGAGCGGGCGGCTCTGGAGGCTGTTATCGGGCGCCGCGGCCGCTCCAGAGTGCCCTGGACCATTTCGGGCGCGCCTGGAAACAATCTAGGCCCATTTGTTTTCATCCTGGGCCGAGAGAGAGAGAGATGGAGAGGGACAGAGAGAGACGGAGTGAAAGAGAGAAAGAGACACCGAAGAACAGGCGTCAAGAGGTCAACCACTCTGCGCGTTTTACCGGCGCCTTTTTAACCGCCCCCCTTGATGCACCCTCATTGACGTCCTCCACTGATGCACCCCCTTGACGCCGCCCCTTGAGGCACCCCTTGACGTTCCTTTTTTGGTGGTCCTGCGGAGGAATGGGCGCTCTGACTCTCAGCCCTATTCAAGCAACGGGGTCCTTGATCCTGCGGACCTCCGTGCTCGGGATCGACGAAATACACACCTCCCCACGAACGCGTTTCGGACCAACCGCCGCGGCGACCGCCGGCAGACGTGGGGGAGCGCGCACGGGCAGAAAAGCGGGACGAAGGGAAGAGGAAGAGGAGGAGGAGGAAATGGGGGAGGAGGAGGACGAGAAGACGGGAGACAGGGACGAAAAGAGGGAGTGGAAGGGGGAGAGGGACAGGGAGGAGGGGGAGGGGGAGGAGGAGGAAAGGGGATTAGGATGAGGAAGTGGGGGGGGCGGGGGGGCAGGAAGAAAAGCGGAGGAAGAGGAGGAGGAGGAAGAGGAAGAGGAGAAAAAAAGAGGATCGGAGGAAGAGGAGGAAGCGGAGGAACATGGGAAAGGGGAGGGAGAGGGGAAGGGAAACGGAAAGAGGGAGGAGGTGGTGGGCACCAACTGGACCAACTGGAAAGCGTCCGCGGAAACGAACGCCATCTGGCGACTGTAGAGAAAGGTCGGCGGGCGGCGCACTCCCAATTGATCGGGGCCGTTTATGCCACCGTTTTGGGCGCGCGAACCCACGGCCAAGTGCCGCGGCCGGAGCGCCAGAAGAAAACAAAACAAATTAGCGCCCAAGGACCTAACCCGTGGATGGATGGAGGCCCCGAGAGGCCATGCCGAGTTTCCTCAATCGTTTGTCCGACTTGAACCACCTATGGTCCGCGACTGGATTCCTAAACCAACCGCCGCAGACCGCGTGGCAAGAGAATAAGACCAGCGCAGGATGCGCAAATATGGACGCGACCGCATCGACATATAGCATGCCGACGACCATAAAAGAAAGGAGAGGCACGAAATACAAATAAACAAACAAAACTGCCGCATCAAGGGCCTGATCAGCTTCGGGCACGGCGAAAGCCGCCTCGCGACCTCGCCGAAGTTCCCAAGCCAAGCTTGGATTTCAAATAACCAGCTGGCCGTGGCCCGAAAGAGCTTCAGCTGGCCATTGTACAAGTGCGCCAAAGCGCTGCACGTCCGAGCACCATCAAAACAATACGCACAGCGCACCTCGCCAGCCCCGTCGCCCAGGGCAGAATCCTGCCCGCGGGGGCCAGCTTACGCGCGACATCGGGGCGGGGGCGGCAAGGGGCGGAGGCGCATCAGCCCACCGACGCAGCTCGACTTCCAGACCTTCTGTCGGGGCCAAAGGGCACCCAGCGCTTCCACCCCCGAAGACCACGGGGCCCTCGCCCCCCTCCAACGCCCCCCCACTCCCAAAACACACGCGCCTCGGGCGGGGATGGAAGCCGGACAGAGAGCTCAGGAAAACCATATCTTAGGCAAAGACTGTCGAACACGGGCCCGCGGGGCGCTCACGGGACTGCAGCGCGATGGGCGCGCCCGCGAGCCTGGCGCGCCCGAGAGAATACTTCGGGGCTATCCTCGACCTCGTTTCGACACGGCTGCCCTGGGACATCACAACTAGCCCAATCGCGCCCGAACGACGCGCCACCATCCGCGCAAGCAGCCCAGCGCGGGGGGGGCGCCCTTCAACCGCGCGGCAAGCCCGGCAGGCGCAGGGCAGCGATCAGCCCGGAGCCCTCTGCGGGTCCCAAGCCAGGCCAGCCGCCAATCGCGAAGCCCACGGCGAAGAGCGCGTTCCCAAACATCACGCACAGGCCCCTGAACTGGTAGATGGCGCGCCGACCTCTGCACATTCCAACGCTTGACACCGCCCTCCAGGAAGCCTTTCATACCAGCAAGCGTCACCCGCGGAAGTCACGTCTCCACGGTCTCTGCGACAAGGCATCGGCGAAACGGAAGACCAACCAATCCTGTTCAGAAAGCCATGCAGCACTGAGCGGGCCTCCGACGGTGGCCCACGCAAGCCCTCCGTCGCGTCTCCGCACCAAACCCCCCGCGAATGCCGTGACGCACTGAGACTGACTCTGTCGCCCAAGACGAAACAATGGCACCAGCACAGGAGAGACGCAGTCGCGTCGCAAGTAGAATCGCAGCGCGGCTACCACTGACAGCACAAGAAGGCTGCATTTTGAACGCGCGGCGGCGCGCCGACGAGCAGAGCAGCCGCAGCACGCGCCTGCCACAGCGCTGCGCCACTCACGCCAGGCGACTCCAGCCCCATAAGCGTCTGCTGGCCGCGCTTCAGCCGGCCACGCAACTGGTGCTCTGCTTCGTGGTCTCGGCCCCCTCCACCCCCCGCAATCGCGTCGGCCGAACGCAGCGCGACACCATCCTCTTGGAACGATCCGACTGCAGCGCCCAACGCCCAAACCTCCGCGCGGTCTGGGCCCAACCTACCGCCCGGAAACATAATCGACCGCCGCGCGAGGAAGCACATCAGCACGCAGATGCCCGAGACACGGCCCCCCTTGGGGGCAGCACCTCTGACGCGCACGCCGCGCGGGCGCGCCCCGCCAACGCGCCACTGCCCGGGCTTCTCGAGATACAAGCATGACCTCTGAGGCGTCGAGGTACCCGGCGCATACTCCGCAACACCCACGGCAAACTGGGCGGACATCTCAACGCCATGCCCTCCGAGGACAAGCGCGATGGCCCGACGAAGCCGACAGCATTGATCACGTCGAACAGCACCATCGCCGAGGAAAGCCCCCCCCGCCTCGCGGCGCCGCCATCTCCGATTCACTGCTCTGGCACAGTGCGCAATCAGATGAAATGGACCCCCCGCGATTCCCCAAGAACTGCTCGCACTCATTGCCCGCCCCCCACCGTCGCGCAAGGCCCCTGCCCCAGGCGCGAGGGAAGGCGCGCGCCACCGCAATCAGCCCGCGCCCTCCATCGGGCACGGGAAGACGGCACATCGCGGACCACAATCTTTCGGCAGGCCACCCCAGCAGATCCTCACATTTCGTGGAAAAAGCAAATCAGCACCAGCAGCGCTGAGTCTGAAATGGCATGCACATGCACACGAGAATGCCATGCACACGAGAATGCCATGCACATGGCCCCGCCCACGTCTTCGCGGGAAAAATTCGAACGACCTGACAGAGCGCGCCAACATCAACCGTCGGAAGAGCGGGCCACGAGTCAGCCCCCGGCGGGGCCTGCACCGATAGGCAATCATGAGGCCCCCAGATCCCCGACCAAGAACCCGGATCCTGACTAACCAGCACATGAAGTTGCACACACCCAGTTCTCCTAGGGAAGGGCGGCACCTCATCCAGCGCCTGCACCTCGGGCGCCCGACGCGCATTCGAAGCTCCACCTCCAGCGGCCCCCCTGACAAACCTCGCCAACTCACTGCGCATAGCTCTCTGACCCCACACCCTCAACCTCGCCGCCGCAGCCCCCCGCCGCGGCGAACAGACCGGAAAAGTTAGCGAGGGCAGCAGACCCTGCCCTGATGCCAGGACAAGACTTAAACTGCAGTAGCACGCGCTGCGGGGCCACTCCGCTGCAAGGGGCGCTGGACAGAACAGGACTGGCCCGGCGCACAGCACCGAGCAATACCGCGCACTGCTGCAGGCCCCCCTCGCAGAAGACATTCGCCAACTGCCGGCGCGACGCCAACTCGCAAAGCCTGCAACGCCCCTTTTGCGAATGCGTCTCCCGTCTCATCGCTGTCTTCCGCGCGGGGGCCCGCGGACTCTCGAGCGCTTTCTCCCGCGGCGGCTGAGCAAGACACCGCGGCCCCAAGTCACATCAGCTCGTGAACACCAGTTCGATTCCCCCATGACCGCGCCCGTAGCACACGCCAGCTCCGTCTCGTCGCTGTTATCCTCGAATACGCTGAGAGCCCAATCCAGGATATATCGAGCACATCCAACGAGCGCCCCAAATGAAAGTTCCGCGGGCAGGCTAGGGACAGGGTTCCAGGAGGCAACGTCCTGAGCCATGATACAATGATGCACAAGATTATGGAGATTGTTTTTTTATTCTGGCCGATAACGCTCGTTACCCGGGGGGGGGGGGGGTCGTGCCCCCCGGGTAACGGTAACGCTTGGGCTGGGCGGGGTATGGCGAGGCAGGGGCGCTCTGCGATCGCCATAGTATGCGCGCGAGCAGCACTCTCTGCCTGAGAGCACCACAGTGGCTTGCGATTCGAGTACAAGCGCAAAGCCCGCCGCGTGGTCCCGGCACCACGCCCGCGCCCGCGCGCGCGACGACGATGATCGACGAGCGACGAGCGACGAGGTCGACGACGACGACGACGACGTTTGCCGCCTGTTTCGGCCTCCGGAGGCCGTTTTCGAGCGCCGTCGACGACGACGACGACGACGACGACGACGACGACGACGACGACGACGACGACAACGGCAACGAGGACGACGACGACGACGACGACGACGTTGTTTTTGTGCCTTTGTCGGACTCCGGAGGCCGCTTTTCGGGCGCCGTCGACGACGACGACGACGATTCGAGTACAAGCGCAAAGCCCGCAAGCACCAGCATCGCGCATGCGAGCGCCGCAATGGCCTGCGAGCGCCCACAGTGCGCCTGCGACCACCACACCACAGTGCGCATGCCTTCGGGCACCAGCATGTTGGAGGGGAAGACCGAGACCCCCCCCGCGCACGAGCGGTACCGTTACGGGGGGGGGGGGGGAGAGGCCCGGGTAACGAGCGTTACCCCCCAGAGGATAAAAAAACAATCTCATGATGGCACGACGCGATATCATCGCTAAATCCAGTTGCCACGCTCGCCGCGAGACTCGACGACGCAACATAATAGTTAAGGTGTTCGCCTGGAGTCGTCTGCCGACGCATGGGCAACAGCGGGTAGAATAGCATGGTCCCCACCGCGGCACACCATTCTTTGCCGGAAAGCTCTGAAGGCTGGTTGTTCCAATCGCCACCTACCAGCCAATCATGTCCATCCCTGTTGAGCTTCGCCAGCGTCTGCGAGAGGCTCCAGAGGTAGACTAGGTCGACGGGGCCCATGCCGTCGGCGGCGCCCATGCATATGCTGCCAGCCGCGAAACCTCCTGGAACACCCGGTGAACATGAGCGACGAGCCACACTCCTGGAAGAAACTCCGCATCACGAAGACCGGGAACAATCATCTTGATGTCATCCCGTACCAGCATCGCCACGCTGGCCTGAGTAAGCGCGACGGATTTCGCAATGGGGATAGCTGCCGCCCAACGCCCATGCCACCCAAGGTCGCGCGCTCTAGACTGTGCCTCTGCGACGCGGTCATCACTCGACTGATGCTCCTGAACCAGCACCGCCCAAGCCTCCTCAACGGTCGGCAAGCATTCAAAAAGGCAGCCGTGTAACGCGACGGTCACCGTGACGACATCCTTTTTCAGACTGGGGACATCAGCTGTTGGGGCAGTGATAGGAGTGCCTCCAACCTCTAAAAAGCAGCTTGCAGTTGCGAGCGAACCACGGTCCCTGCGAAGAGGTTGTCTCCTAATATTGGCTTGAAGATACATGGCAGCAGAGGGCGCGCCACCTGCACAGGGGTGTCTGGACAGCTGCGTTTGCTGAGCTGCATATGCGCGGGAAATTGAACGGATGCCCCCAACGTAAACACTGGAAATACTGTCACCCAAGACATGCAAACCCTCCTGCTGCACCTCGTCGACATCCAGTTTTGTTTAAGCTGCTTCGCCACGGTGACAAGTGCGTGCCACCCCGGACCTCCAGGGGTGCATAGGCCAAGGTCGGTACCGTCTGCCCTGGCACTGTCGCAAAACGTGGGACGCTGTGAGCCTAAAACTGATCGGCATCACTGTTGATGTTGAAAGCAAACTCATTCACGTTGGAAGTAAGCCCACTCCACGCCTCCGCAGCTGAAGCACCCGAGGTAGACAACGTGATGCTCGCACCACCTGCTGCCACCATCTGCACTGTTCGAACTTGGAACTCCTGATGAGGCAGCCTACGAAGCTGTCACTAAGTCGGCAGCTGGCGCCTTTGTAGCTCCAACAAAGACAGCCGACTCACAATCAACAGAGTGAAAGCACGACTGATGGCTTCGGAAGTAAGCCCACCCACGTTGGAAAAAAACACCCAACGCAGCCGCACCCGGCGCTCCTGAAGCATACTGGGTCCTAGTCACACTACTTGCAGTCCATACCGTCAGTGAAACACAGCCACCAGCATTGGTCAAACTTGGCAACCTTGGAGAAGCAGCCCCCGGCACAGTCAGTAAGTCACCACCTGACGCCCCGGACGCTCCAACATAAGCAGCAGAGCCACACCCGCTGTTGGTATCATCATCTTGCTGCTCAGGAAGATGATCATGCCGCCGACGAACAGGGTCCTAGGCGGTAACCTGAATGCGTTGCTTCCTCTTGGCACAGTGTCTGCGTAGCTTTGAAGCCATCTGCGAACCTCATGGCCTGCGCACGAACCTCCCTCCCGTCGGCTGGGACCTTACCAAAATTGGCAACGAACGTCTCGGGATCCTCTAGATCCGCATCCTCCATCTCTCGAAACACAAAAGTATCCACAGCATTAAATGGGGCATGTGGAGCAGGTGGAAGTGCCTATCATGCCTCGCCCACTGAAGGGGAAGGGGGAGAAGGAAGGGGGAGGGGGACGGGGACGGGAAGGATGTTGAGGGGGAGGGGGAGGAGGGGGACGAGGAGGAGGAGAAGGCGGACCAGAGTAAGCCAAAGATGCATATGCGATGCTGCAATACACCCTCCCATCCCAAAGCCCCCTCCTCATACGCCCCTACAAGCACTCCCTGCCTTTACAAGAAACGATCTCCTTGTACGACCAGCACAAGTGTGCCTGCCATTTTGCGACGGTCCCGCTTTGAAGAGGAATCGCCTTGTATATGTTCTGGCGCGTAGTCAGGGACGCGAAGAATGGTCATACAGTTCAACGAGGTGTCAAAAATTATCCCCCCCTTCGAAAAAGCACCGCCCTCCTCCCCCCAGCCGTGTTGCCCAAGTTTACCTTTATGATACTGAACTTGGGAAAAAAGACTACCCTAGATCAGTGCAGCGATACGGGCATTGAAGCTTCGGGTCCTTAAACTTAGCGAAGTCTCAAGCGAGAGTTCCATTTTGAAAAAGAGCAGCCCCATATCTTATCATCACGACTCTGCAATCCATTAGCAGTGCCCGTTACTGTCCCTGTCCCACGCGGCGTGTTCGACGGGCACTGCGTTCGCAGGGGTCCACGGCAGTCATGCGCGGCGCCCGCTCGTAATCCTGGACTGTTCGGCCTGCGAAGCACGGCAACCACTCAGCGCTCCGCTGCCACAAGACAAACAAGTCGGCGCCTGCAACAACGGAGCGGCGCACGTTTGTTCAACGATCACACCAAGACATTGAAACATGTAGGGTTCCACGCTTGAGCCTGTCAGCAGGAACGAGAAAAGGTGCGGATAGAGAGGGGACGAGGACAGGGGAGAGGGGAGGCGCTCGACCTACTGTCCGTCCGTTCAGCGGCCCCTTCCGCCCGTCAGCAGCTCGGCGAGGAGGGGGAGTGCCGCAGCCCTGCCTCGGTTGGCAGACGCGGGACATCCGATGACAGTCTGGACGCGCCCGCTGGCGGCGTCGCGGTCGGCTGCGCAACGTCGAGGCAACGTCTTCCTCCACAACATCCTCGGCTCTGCTTCCCTTCTCGTCCCTCCTCCTCCTCCTCCTCCTCCTCCTCCTCCTCCTCCTCCTCCTCCTCATCCTCATCCTCATCCTCCTCAATCTCCTCCTCCTCCTCCTCCTCCTCCTCCTCCTCCTCCTCCTCCTTCAGCTCGCACTCGCCCTCATCGTCGCCTCCCCCAGCCGCCTCTTCTCCTGTTGGCCCTCATTTTGTCTTCCTCCATTTCCCACTCCCCCTTCTTCTCCTCAACTCCTGGTCCTCCTCTTTCTCATCCTTCTCCCCTCTCCAATTCTCTACTGCTCTTCCTACTCCTCCTCCTCCCTCCTCCTCCTCCTCCTCCTCCGCCTCCTCCTCCTCCTCCTCCTCCTCCTCCTCCTCCTCCTCCTCCTCCTCCTCCTCCCTCCTCCCTCCTCCTCCTCCTCCTCCTCCTCCTCCTCCTCCTCCTCCTCCTCCTCCTCCTCCTCCTCCTCCTCCTCCTCCTCCTCCTCCTCCTCCTCCTCCTCCTCCTCCTCCTCCTCCTCCTCCTCCTCCTCCTCCTCCTCCTCCTCCTCCCTCCTCCTCCTCCTCCTCCTCTCCTCCTCCTCCTCCTCCTCCTCCTCCTCCTCCTCCTCCTCCTCCTCTCCTCCTCCTCCTCCTCCTCCCTTCCCCCGATTCCCCATTTCTCGAGTTCCTCCGCCTCGCCCGCCCGATCCCTCCTGTTCGTCCGCCCCCCCCATGCTTCTTGCTACCTGAGTCCAGATCGGGGCAGACGTCGCACTGCGGCACCCCCACCTCGGCCCCTTGGAGTCCCCAGGGCGACCCAAATGTTACATAAACCTGGCCTGTTCACCAGCCACTCAGGCGGGCCACTTGGAGGCATCTCCGGGCCTCCTGGAAGCATCTTGGAGGCCATCTGGAGCCATCACGGGATATCCCATGCCATCTTGGAGGCTACTCTCGGCCAGTTCGAATCTGATTGGAGCCATCTCTGCCTCTCTGACCGCTCGCGGGACGCCCCGCCCAGACCCAGGTCGTCCTCCTCCTCCTCCTCCTCCTCCTCCTCCTCCTCCTCCTCCTCCTCCTCCTCCTCCTCCTCCTCCTCCTCCTCCTCCTCCTCCTCCTCCTCCTCCTCCTCCTCCTCCTCCTCCTCCTCCTTCCCCCCATACCCCACACCCCACCGACACCCGCCCCGGCCCATCGCGCTGCCTCTCGTGCGGGCGATGCTCGGTCTGTGCGCTGATCGTCCCTCCAATTCCAAGGCGTCGCCAGGCCTCCCCGCCCTCATTAGGGGCTCAACGCTTTCTGATGTTCCTCGACGCGCCCTGGAGCGTCCACGATGTGCTCCAAATGTCCATGGAGTCTCTGGATGTACCTGGGTTTATCCGGATTTACCTAGACGTATCTGGATGTACCTCAATCTGCAAGTCGATCGAAGAAGAGTTGCCGAAGCCTTTGGGACGCGCTCCAGCGTCCTGTGCGGGCACATCGTCCCCCTGCGCCACCAGACGCACTGCAGAGTGACATCTAGGGCTCAGGACCCGCTTCGACGCCAAACCTGGCAAGTAAGGAACGGACTACGCAATGAGGAGGCGACGGGCGGGCGGATGTGGCAGGCTGTCGGGCGTGGCGCGGGCGCATCTGGCTCACCCCTCTCCGCTCTCCTTCCTGCTTCATCATATGGGTTCTGGATGCTCCTTGGATCCTCCCGCGGTTCCCCTGGCGTCGCGCCCCGATGATGATGAACAGGTTGAAGGCCGCTGAGCCGACGATGGTGGAGGGACCGATCTCACCTCCGCCGGAAAGCAAATGGATCGCAAGGAGGACGACGACGGCGGCGACGACGACGACGACGACGACGAGTCATTAGGAGCATGACAAACGCGAGGAGCGCGAAAAGCAGTGGAGGCGCTGGGCAATGCTACTTCTCATCCCGAACATTCAGAACATTGGATAGTATTGGGGCCATCTTGGGGTCATCGTCGGGCTCTCTTGGGATCGTGTCGGGCACCCAGACTCCAGCGCTAGTCCCCAGAGGTCCCTGGAGTTCCTGGAAGCATCTGGGGGCCTCTGAAAGCCCAAATAGGCCGAAAGCTTTCAAAACATAGATCCTGGATCATCCTCCATCCCCGTGCCTCCTCCTCCTTCTCTTCCTCCTCCTCCTCCTCCTCCCCCTCCTCCTCATCATCTTCCTCCTCCTCCTCCTCCTCCTCCCCCTCCTCCTCCACCTCCTCCTCCTCACCCAGCTCCTCCTCCAGCTCCTCCTCCTCCTCCTCCTCCTCTTCCTCCTCCTCCTCCCCCTCCTCCTCCTCCCGAGGAAAAAGGAGGAGCTGGGGGAGAGGGGTCGTGAGGGATGTATATGTCAGTGCAGTTCTTTTAGCTCGGACTGCGCGGCAGTCAAAACTGCGGGTGCGTCCCAGGGCCCTAGGACTAGGGCCAAAACAGCGGCGGGCAGCGTGCATGCCACAAAACAAGACAAGCGTGCACATCATACACACACGGTGGCACGGGCGGCAGAGGGACAGGGGAGTGCACTCTTCACACTGGGTGAGTACAATGCTGCCCCGATGCCGCTCCCTTCGAAAAGGGAAACGCTGCACGCAATTATAATGTATATCAGCCCACAGGCCGAAACATCTCAAGCAAATGCGGCCTGAGGCTCAAGATATAAATATAAAATATGAATGTCTAGATTCACTCATCCAGACTGTCAACTCAAAGGATATGCTTGAAACACCTCAAGCAAAGTGCGGCCTGAGGCTCAAACTATAAATATAAGAATATGAATGTCTGGATCCACTATTCCAGACTATCAACTCAAAGGATATGCATACATCACCGTAGCCCTCACTAGGTCCATCAGCAGCTGCAATCAGGACCTCACGGGCTCGCAGGCCCTGGAACGGCGACCCGACGCTGGGCCTTCCGCCCCTTGGCTCTCTCACGCTGTCCGCGGCGCAGCCGCAGACGGTGTGCCTCCTCATCCTCTTGCTCAGCAGTAGGCACCATGCTGAACAGTCCGTGGCGGAGGAACTGCGATAGCACCTCGTTAGGCTGCACGGCCTTTGTCAGCACGTCCGCTAACATGTGGCTATTGGGCAGCCACTTGAACTTGATGGCCTCCTGCTCTATCAAATCCTTGGCCACCAACAAGTCAATGAGGGTCTGCCGAGACACCGGCATCGAGCCGATCTTGGACGTGTGATCGTAGAGCGACTTCGCATCCGTCACGAGCGCCCCTGGAACCTTCAGCGCCAGCCTCCAGTCCCCTTGCAAGGGCGGCTCCCCGTGCAAGATTGCCTCAATCAGCAGCCTGAGGTAAAGCTGCCGATCCAAAGCCACGGACATAGCCGCAGACTCTGCGACCATCGTAGATCCAACAGCTCGTGTATTAGTACTGCTCTGAAACTCCACTAGACAACATACAGTTAGTTCCTTCAACACTCGGGTATCCGCAATCATACTCATGAACCCCATCTGGCTCTTACAGCCGGATTCCTTCGCAAACGAAGCGCCCATAAGCGTGAGCACCTGCAAGCGCTCGATATCCACACAACGGATCCGGAGAGTCGCAAGACCTCTCTTGTCGTAGTCCTGAAGCCGGTCGATGATGTCATTGAGCACTCGCAGGTGCAGTAACCTCCGACCTTTCGGATCCTTCTGTGCGAGCGCCGAGACACTATACGCGAGCTGTGGCACCACGCGTGCGACAGGCCACCGCACCTTCTGGAGCAGGCTCCGGAAGTCGTGGTGCTCCTCGGGAGTCATCTCCCGCTCCTCGTCGTCACCCCTTGCAAGGGGGTGCTTCGTCAGCTTGCCGATGCATTCGTGCATGCTGATCTCGATGTGATCGGGGTGGCGCCACCACTCCTCACCGAGATAGGCGACTGCCTCCTTGTCGTTGCCCTCCTTCCAGTGCTTGATGTTGAAACGACTGTTGATGTTCGCCTTCACCTCCTGGTACTAGGGGTCGCGCGGGTCTCCAAACAGCATGCCGTCGTCGACGTGCAAGGTCAACATAGCAATCAACTTATCGTTCATCCGATAAACGAAGGCAGCTCGAGCACAGCGCAGCTCCACGAAGCCGACCTCGTCCGTCAACACATGGCGGGCTCGGAGATGCCACAACCGAGGCGCCTCCGTCAAACCGTACGCCCCTTTCAGCAAGCGAAGCAACGCATAAAGTCGCACGGCTGGCCATCCAGCACCGTCGACGGCTGGAAGCCCGTCCTTAGGAGCCCTCACATACAGCTCCCGTTCCAGCTTCAGCCCGGACAGGAACGCAGTCGCTACGTCGAAGCTCTCGAATGTCCAATCCATCGCCATTGTGATAGACGCACACACCAGCACAGCCAAAGGGGAAGTAGTAGGCGAATCCGTCCTGAATAGACCAAGCTGTGGGTCGAGATGGCCAGGGATGATCAAGCGCGACTTCGCTTCTAACTCCAGCCCTCGCCCCCGGTTCGTGCGAACCGAACGCATGGGCACCGAGATGATCTTGTCCTTTGGGATGCTCTTCTCCTCCTCCTCGGTGACCAGCTCGACCGTGTTGTTGGCGATCCATTGCCGCCACTCGGCGGCATCGGCCTCGTCGAACTTAGCCTTCTCGTGCTGGTTGAAGTTACGTGGGTCTAACTCCTTCGCGTTCTGCTTCATCACGAGTGCGAACACGTCGTGCTCGTACCGGGCCTCCTGCAGCCATGCGTCATACACAGATGACACGTTGATCCATTCCTCGTAAGTCATCGGCTGCCGTACAAGACCCTCCGGAGTGTCCAAATAGCACACCCCTTGTGCCTGAGCGTCCGGCTTGTCGTGGTAGAAAAGCGTGAGACCAACCCAGCTGTCCTCCGTGCGCTCGTTGGTACGGTTCGCGCCGTCGTCCTTGTAGGCACACTGGCCCGTGGCGGAGAGCATCACCGACAGGCGATTGCACTCCCGGTGGCGGTCGTGATCATAGAGTCTCCGCCGTGGCTCTCGATGTACGCGTACTCCTCGTACGACCTTCTGAACGAGCGTGGAGACACCATCCCATGCATTCTGGTCGAACCACTCCTGGGGTCCCGAGTGCGCAACAGCGTTCATGGCCACCTCACGGAGGGCCGGCAAACCACTCGTAGGGGCAGCCTGCAGACGCGTCTTCTTGATGCAACTCGGCACGTCATCTACCAGGAACTTCCGCTTGCGCTCAAGCTCGAAATCGTCTCTGGGAATCGGCGGCACCGAAGGGCCGCCAGAGCCCGATGCTCCCGGAGAAGCCTTCGGGTACGTCTCAGAGGATATCCGGCCTGGAGGGGAACGAGACCGCGCCCTCCTCGGAGGGCGAAGCTGCGGCAGCTGCTGCTGCTCAGGCGGCTCCTCCCCCTTAGCCTGTGCCTCAATGGCGCCCAGGGCCCTCAGGTCCACACGAGGCTGCCTGGACCCCTCGAGCTCCCTATGTCGGTCACGCTCCTTCTTCAAGAAGGTCTTCGCCACCTTCTGAACCTTCACCTTGGGCGTGACGTCCACGATGTCGCGGTAGGCGCGATCATCTCGCTGCTGTGTCAGCCGCACGTCCGTCTGGATGGACTCCGCAGCTGCGGCCTCCTGGGAGGAGGCGTGCCGGAGCTGCTCACGAGCGACAAGTAGCACGTGACCACGCCATAATACGTAGTACCGGCTATTGGATTCCTTCGCGATCACAGTCGCAGGACCCCGCCATCTTTCAGGATCTTGCCGACGACGTCCCTTGAACGGATTCGGTGCCCAGAAATACACCCTCGATCCTGGGCACAGATCTCCGACGACCGTCGGCGCCTGTCGTAGCAGCGCCCTCCGCACCTTGTCCGTCCCGTCGCGCTCCAGCAACATCATCTTTGCTGCGGTGCGGATTTGAGACGAACGCCAAGCTATGCCCTTGGCGCCGAGAACCGACATGAGAACCTCATCGTCGTCCCTGTTAGTCACCTCCGTAAAGTTCAAGATCCGCCCGAAGACAGCCTGCTCCGGGGTCAATCCATTGCGGCTGATCGTCGAGTTCTTCGCATTGATAATGGCAGCCAGTGCCACAGTAGACATCGACTTGCCCTGGACGTGGAACTCGCGCACCACCTTGCCCCAGATAGTGCCGAGCAATCCTCCGTGACGCTCTGCCAGGCCATGCTGCCATGCTGCATGAGCTCCCGTCGTCTTCGTATTAATGCCGAACTGCTCCATCAACGCGTTGAAGTAGCCCTCGAACTCGCCGCCCTGGTCGATCACGATGTTCTCTGGCACGCTGTAATGCTTGAACCACTCATTCATGATCTGGCGTGCTACGTGCTTGGCCGTCCTATTCTTGAGAAGGCAGGCGCAGTGCCATCCCGTACCAGCATCTACCATGCTGAGGACCACCAGCTGCTCCTTGGCCGCGTCCCGTAGGTACTTCACGTCGATCACAACCGTCACATTGAAGCCGAATGGTCGCACGTCCGCCGTCCCCTGCACTGGACGGGGCGGCGCCTCCGACTCAGCACAAGTCGGACACTGCCAATGCTTCGCGTATGCCAACGCGTTGGGCGTTGCACCGCCGAGACGCAGCATCTTGATGAACGTCGGTCGACTGGGGTGTCCGAGACCGCGATGGGCCTTCCGCACAGCACGTCGCGTACTCCGAGGAATCTTCGTCATGATGTCCTGCCGCACCACCTCCGGAAGCTCCATCTCTGACCAGGAGGCTGCAACCTCCTCCTCCTCCGCAGGGTGCTGCATGGACTCCTCCTTCACCGTCTTCTGCAATGCCTCGCGAATCTCGGCTCGAATCTCCTGCGGTGTT